TAAAACCGATGGGGGCTTAAACTGGTTCTCATAGAGAACCAGCGTTTAGATACAGAGAAGGACTGGCCCAAGGTTCATATGGACAAGATAAATATATAAAAATTAAAAACAATCTTAACCTTCCCTTGAATGTTCCAAGACCAACTATGTTAACATTAGTTTTCCAATCTCAATCTGAGTGTTTTATGTACAAAAGGTATACACTTCCCACCCACAGGGATGGCTATAAGCAAAGAATAGATAATCACAAGTGTTTTCAAGAATGTGGCAAAATTAACCCTTATATATTGCTGATGGTAATGTATAATGGAGTGCTTACTTTGGGAAACAGGCTGGCATTCCTCAGAAAATTAATCCTAGAGTTACCACGTGACCCAGCAATTCCACTTCTAGGTATATATCCAAGAGAAATGAAAACATGTATGTACATCAAACTTTGCACACAAGTGCTTATACAGCATCACTGATAACAGCAAAGAAGTGGAAATGGCCCAAACGTACATCAATTGATGAGTGGATAGACAAAATGTGGTATAGTCATACAATGCTATTAAAAAGAATCAATACATACTATGAATGGATGAAATGTGCAAACATGATGCTAAATGAAAGAAGCCAGTCACAAAAATAAATTCCATTTATATGAATGTATAGAATAGGTAAATCCATAGAGATATAAAGCAGATTGGTGGCTTCCAAGTGTTGGGGAGAGTGGGTTGGGGAGAAATCGTGCGTATGGCATTTCTTTAAGGGATGATGACAACATTCGGAAAATGACTGTGGTGATAGTCACACAGCTCAATATACCAAAAGCCACTGAATTGTATAGTTTAAATGGCTGAATGTTATGGTATGTGAATTATGTCTCAATGAAGGCATACACTGAATGTTCTAGCAAGTTAAGGAACACATGATCTAATGAAATCAACACAGTACTGGACTTCGGTAGAGAAGGACAGATTGAACTGCCAGATTTCATCAGAGAGTTTCATCAATGGGCTGAATCTTGATCCGTTCTGAGGTGAGAAAAATCAGGATAGGAAATTTTCAGACAACTTCCTGAGAAAAAGTTGGGGTGCAGGCAGGCCCAACCCACCCCAATTTGAGCCCTGATATCTAGTTCCTTTGAGTGCTAGAACATTTGGCCCAGTGCATTAGCATTTGTCCCAGGGCTGGTTCCCAAAAGCTGCTGCCCTCTTATGCTTCCACTGGTCTCCTTGCTGTTCCCATGGTGATCTGAGAGTAGATGCTGAGGACAAGTAGCACAGCTGAGGGCTTGCAGACAGATTCAAAACAGACCAAAGCAGGGAGCACACTCCTGTCAATGATCCCAAAAGGCTGAACAAATTTTACAAGTATCTTTCTTGGCATAAGCTCTATTGATCTTCTTTTTCTTCCCATATACTCCCCTTGAAAGGAGAAAAGGTGCATGACTTCCTGAATAATTTCACCTGCGCTTGGAACCTTACTTGGGAATATACCTACTATGAAGGTCCAAGACTGTAGATATTCTTATTGCCAAGGTTTATGGGACAAGCAGAAATGCAGGATGGGTGAGCTACAATTTACATGAGCAGTAAACCCTCAGTTGCACTAAAAAATATCCCTCAAAGAATGTTGAATAACTTCTCCCTGATATGAGGGCTGCATTCCTGAGAAGATGTCTCTGCCATTCTTTTGACATCAAGCCTTGGTATGCTACTTGGTTGTTAAGAATACTGTCTTAACAATATTAACTGAGCCGGGATCGCTCAGTCAGTTAAGCGTCAGATTTCAGCTCAGCTCATGATCTCAGAGTTTGTGAGTTTGAGCCCCGCATTGGCTGTCTGCATTCAACATGGAGCCTATTTCAGATCCTCTGTCTCCCTCCCTCTCTCTCTCTCTCTCTCTCTCTCTCTGTTCCTCCCCCACTTGTTTGCTTGCTCTCTCTCTCAAAAAATAAGCATTAAAAAAAAAAAGAATAAAACTATCCCTGGGCCAAAGCTTAGTTTAGAAATATCCAGAGATCAGTAATACAAAAACCAAAGACCCCAGGTTCTGGAGAAAGAACATGCGCTCTGTGCAGGGTGACAGGTTGGAGGTACCCGATCAGGGGCTCAGTATAAACTGGTTCTCTACCTTGGTTGCACACTGAAATCACCTGGGGAATTTTAACACTGCTGATGCCTCAGTCCCACCCCCAGAGTCTCTAATTCCGCTGGCTTGGAGGGGCCTGGTCACAGGGATTTGTAAAAGCACCCAGGTAGTTCTAATGTACAATCAAGGCTGTCCATTAGCAGAAGCTGCAAAGTCCTGTCTTTGAAGATTCCACAAGAGACCAGGTGTGCTTCGGTTCTCCTAATAACACAGTTTAAAATATAAAGTTGAGTTGAATTAAATTCCACGTATACTACAACATATAAGCACAAAATGTGTTAAAATTAAGATTAGAACTTTTATTTTTCTTGGGGAAGCATATCATGATTGTTTTGAGCTTATAGTTTTTCTTTCCAAACATTACAGAGTGCTTAGATAGTAAAAAACTTCACTTGTGTATGGTTTAAAGTATTTGAGGTGTGCGAGTAACATGTGTATTTGATATGGAATGTGCTAGTCTTCATTTACTTTCCTTTTACTACCAAGGAAAGGCTACATGCAATCCAGCAAACCTTGCTACTTGTAAGCCTAAAAGGCCCCTCCTGTGTGCACAAGTGCACACAGAGGCATATACCCCCTACCCCTCCTCCACTGGCCAAAAAGTTTAGTCCTTGGCCTGGAAATATACCAAAGCCTCAAATGGCCATCAACAGGAGGCCAGGGTTGCAGAGGAGGAGGTTTCATTTGCTCATGCCACAAACCATCCCTTTTCTTTGAGTGAGTCATTTCACTGGTCAGACTTAATTCCCTTTTCAGCCTTCCAGTCAGCTCTGGGTCAGGCCTCTGGCTCACCCCTAAGCTAATGTTTGCCACCTCTGGAGGGAACAATCTGTCTTTCAGATCCCGCCAGCAGTAAAGCTCGAAGAGCTCTGAGGGCTTGGGGTCGCTGCACCTCATTCTCTCTCAAGAATCAGGACCTGAGGTTGAGGGCATGGAGATTCAGGAGTCTTCCCTGGAGACCCACTCCCTGATGTTGAACGCCCACTGGCTTTTAGTTGAAAGGCGTTTCCAAGGCTACAGAATTATATCTACAACAAATTTTTATAGAATTCATTTTATTAAAATACAACAAAAGATCCTACTATCCATCAACATGGGATCCCTCAACCATTACTGGCTAAGGAGTCTCCCTCCCTGTAACCCCTCTCCCTGTACTTTGGTTTCCTCACCTGTAAAATAAGGAGAGGTTGCAGAGTAGTTGTAAATGAAATGGTCCATGCCTGCAGCATGTAGCATACAGTAGGAGACAATGAAATGTTAACCACTGCAGTTCCACAGTCAGCGAGTAACCATAACCAGAATTAGTTTTTGTAAGTGTTCCATCAACCTCCAGTTACACTCTCTTGGTAATCAGAATTTTCAAAATGGATTTGTTTGTTTAACCTAAGAATCCTGGTGAGAACATGACTGCTTTTGACCTTCCTACATTTTTGGGCACGTCTGAATATACATAAAAAGAGTTCTCCCAAAGAGTAAAGGTGCATAAGTCATAATGTATTTGTGTTTATAACATCTGTGTTCCAGAAAGCTCTGGAGAACTAACCAGAGAGACAAGGGGAGCCCAGCTCATTTTGCAGTACTTGGTTCTTGTGTTTGACTACCCACCTGTCATGGGCGGGCTGACTTCCCAGCATTCAATCTCCTCACATATGAAACAGAAGGGATATGAACCTTATGCCATACTAAAAGGCTACCAAAGGAAGATGTAGGAGCCTGCAGACCTAATCAGCAGAGTCTTTTTCACTCAGATGTTTGGACAAGAATCAATTGCTCTAAAAGGCTTCTCCAAAGCAGCTTTGGTTCCCACCCCCCACTCTCTTTATTCCCCCCCAATTCTCCCAGGAAATTATGAATAGACTGTCCTAAGGTTGTATGTATGTCAGGATCATCATCTGCCTCAAAGGGAGAACTATTATAATTGGTTATGGTTCTAATTATTGCTCTATGTTATGGAATAAAATTTCGTTAGCCCAGGTAAGGCTTTTTGCTTTGCTGATAAAGGTTATTCCATAAATAGAGTGAATGACACTGAGCCACTACTAAGATACTCAAGCATATATAATTCAGTCCTTTAGAAGTAAAGCACATAACTCATTCAGTGATACTTTCTAAGCACTATCAATGTGTAAGGCACTGTGGTTGAGTGTGGGGATAGACAGTCCCTGTCCTCAAGGAGACAGGGATAAAAACCCCTATTAAACCAAGAGACCAAATGTGCAACTCTCACGACTCGTCTACCTCTACGAAGGCATGTGCTCGAACATGTACGCATGAAGTCTGTCAATCAGCTGTCATCAGAAGACAAGTTCCTTGAATACTGACCTCTGCCTCTACTTTGGTAACTCATTCCAATAGACACTTAATAATGCTTATGGATACATACAGATGGTCTGAGATGAATACTGCAGCAACATAAGGAAAACTTCACCCACCTGTTAAGACATACCTTGTTGATCAGGCATTGATATAACAGTGTATAAGTGTGGATGAGAAGAACACAGTGGAGCCAAATCTTTCTATCTGTATCGTCTGCTCTGCTTGCCAGGCCCATTAAGGGCTCCTGGTTATGCCTTCCAATTTTCTGAATTTGAGGACACCTCTATTTATTCAAATGAAGGCAACCCCAGTTTTCACTTCCAAAAACCAACTAGCCCTACCCTGCTATTTTTATTTTCCTATAGCCTTTCCCTTCACTTCATCACCCAGTAGTCTGCAATGTGATGGAAACATTTAAAATAAGAAAGTAAGATTATGTGGACTGAATTTCCCTTTTGCCCTCCCAGTTCCATTTGGTGGATATGCTTTTATCAGCATGTGATAAATATTTCATACAGAAACTGTCACTTGGAATTTAATCTTCGCAGTTTCACCGAAACCACTGAAAAGCATTTGGGAAAGTCAGACCTACATTACAACAAGTACCATATGCCAAGAGCCTGCAGATTAGTGAAGCCTCAGGAGTCGGCATGGAGGAGACCAGAGAACAGAATTGCCTGGAAGAGGGGCCAGCGGCTGCTCCCTTGCTGCACATGTAGAGATCTGAAACCAAACTGTGACACATCTCCATCATTTCAGCTCTTGAGATTTTAAAAGACATATGGAAAAAAACCAAGCTGGAGTGTGGATGCAGCTACATTCATTGAACACTGACCATGGGCCAGGTATGGTGCTGCATGCTTCATACACAAATTTCTTTGTCTTCTCGCATCTAAACAAGGAGGGAACCAGAGAATGAGTGCCACAGGAAGTCATTTCCCTAAGTTCATAAAGCTAGGGAGCAACAACCATCATCTGAAACCACTCCTGACTCCCCAGTCCCATGCCCTCATGTCTTCTTGTAGGGTAAGAAAATATGAACAGAGTTATTAGCCTTGTTTAGTAGAGTTGGAATTCACCTCATTGGACCAGCTTTTGTTTTCAGCTTATTCTTGCAAAGCTAATAAACATGCTAATTTCCAGAAAGAATTCCTGGCTTCCTCCTAGTAAGAGAGGTGGCCACATACTTAGCCAGAGCAGGATCTTTGAGGGCCCAAGTGCTGGTTACTGAAGGGGTACTCCACTCACTGCTGAGTGGCCTTGCTGATTTCAGAGGGTGTTGGCACAAGTCACCACTCTTTGTATTAACAAACGTTAATACAGTATCAGAAGACTTCCCATTGGAGGGGCCAACCTGCTTGGGCCAGGAGTCAGAGGCACAGCCTGGGCTAGCACCAGTCCTTCTGAGTTTCAGGCTAAAACTCTTCCTCTGTCTTCCTACCAAGCTATCGTGACTCTCTGAAGCATTAGTGGAGTGCTTACTGTATCTACAATGCCCTGGGAATACCATGGTGGACAAGAAAATAACTCTGTCCCTCTGGAAGGTCAGAGGCTAAGGGGAGACATGATTCACTAACATGCCATTATACTGCCGTGTCATTAATGCTGTGGAGTCCCACTTGTACCTTGGTGGCCCACAGGACAAGATTTGGGCAGGCAAGAAAGGAGGAGGAAAGGCATTCAAAGCCTTCCCATGGGGAGCTGGTGAAGGCAGAAAGGTGTTCACTGGGTGTGTGCTGTGTGCCTTGTGCGGTGCTGGACCAACAGCGCCCCCTGCTCGTCCTCCAAGGATCCTGCAATCTGGCTGCAGAGAGACTGAGCTGCACAGGCAGGACATAAAGTAGGACTGTCCACGGGACAGGCTCTGGCAGCACAGAAACAGGCAGGAGCAAGCAGTTTTCCTAACAGATCCTGAAACTGTCCAGAATAGAAGAGAGTGGTTAGTGTCTCGTAGGGAAACATGGATTCAGTTTTAAAACACGTTTAGAAATAAGAAGAATACTTCAGTGTCATAAAAAAACAGACAGCTATGCAGACGACTGTATACCTTAAACAAGAGCTGAGAGTGGAAAAAACAAAGCAAAACACTGAGCTTGGCAATGCTCAGAATCTACTTCAAAGCAAAGGGAACATTTCCTTTTGCCTTTTTTCCTGGTCTCCCCTTTCCCATCCCAGTCTGGCTTGGAGGCCAGTCGGGTTCCAGTGAAGAGAACCTTATTAGTAAGTGAGGTACATACAGTCTGTGAACGCACAGAACAACAGCTCCTGCACACAGTTCACAGCCCCCTGACGTCACCACGACCTGGGTAACACTCCTGCCATCACTGGGTATTAAAAGCCAAAGGGTTTTCTCGAATCGGCTCCACTGCTGAGGCTGACAACGAAAAACGAATATTACATAACCCAGCATTACGTAACATAGCTACACCCCCACGCTCAACAAAACATGCGGTCTGTGAGCTCAGGGCAGTTTAAGTTTCTTTTAAAAGTCAATTCAGTAAACAGAGGAGGTCAGTGACATAACTCACCCTTGGTCAAAATCCAACATTCCCAGGTATGTTTCTGGGACCTACCAATCATGACCAATTAGGTTCAGGATCAGAGAATGTCTGGTGTGAGAGAGGCCTCAGAGTCATGGAGCACCCCCCTCCTCACTCCCAGGGGAGCAGGCATAGGAGGACTGCCTGCCCACTGACAGAGGGTGGGAGCAGACCCCCACCTGCTGGCTCCTGGGGCACCCAGCATTCAGTGACTGAGTTTTCATTGAGCTCCAAAGACATGTCCATCTCTGTGTAGGCAATTCTGGAACGCAATCATTTATTAGTGAAATGCAATAACCCACTGAAAGAAAGCCCAAGTCCAGTCTCAACAACGCAGTTAAACTTAGGATTCATAAACAAATTATGCCACCAGAGATCTTAGAAAGCAATGTACCCAATTCCTTACTTTTTACAGATGAGGCCTAAAGGGTCAAGGACTTGCTGGCAATGCTACTGCTAATTTCTGATAGACTGAGGGGAAACCTTTGTGGCTTCTGGTTGGCGCTATTTTCATGGCATTAAGGAGTGGAGATGGGTGGGGAGAAAAGAATTTCTTAGGTTGTATGAAGGGGAAATGTTTGAGGAAAAGAAAAAGATTTAAAATACTGATTTAATTGTGCACTATCATTACTGAATAAAACTAAGATTATTACAGTGCCACATCTTAGAGAATTTTTATAGTCTTTTGATTATTTACAATGGACCAATTCATGATATGACAGCCTTAATTACCAGATTGGGGAAGAGAGGAAATTTCTGACGCATCGTTTGGCTTTGGTATTTTAAAAGCAGGGTGAGTACAAAACTAACATTAACTTCAGAATGGTATTCCTTTGCCTTTAGTAGAAAAATGGAATGATGGTGATATTTTAAGAGAAATTAAATAACATGACCAAGGCCAGAGGGCTAGAGAGTAAGTATTAGGATTTCAGTTCAGGTGTATCTTGTTCAAAATCTCTTCTCTTGGCTACCATGCCTATTAGGTCTGCATAAAACAATAGTTTTTAAGACTGAGAGATGTATAATTAGGAGGTATCTTTCCAACAACACCAATGAATCTAGCCTTTGTACATATACAGATGAAACACATTGAATTTGTAAAAATCCAACTGCAGACATCAAGTGCTTCTAGAAATGAGTGCATTTTCTCATCCATACACTGGGCGTTGGAGAGCACTGGCTACCTGCCACCAGAGTGGATGTGGTATAGAAACAAACAAATGGGGTGAGCCCCTTGGAGCCCCCTTTCTAGAAGGTCTGACACTGTTCCTTTGTCATCTTGGGAGATCTTCTGCATAAGCATGGCTGAAATTAACTGATTACTTGAAAGGACAACCCCAGCAGCGAGGCATCAGAAGCTTTCCAGTGAAGGGCACTTGAGTGACACTGCTTGTCAGGAAAAGCACATTTGGAGCTGCAACCTTCAGATCTATGGGCAAATTCTGAGCAAACACTTCTTAAATAAGGTGGCTGAACTTTAACATTTTCAGACTGTGGTTTCTGTATTTTTTTTCTTTTGAAGGCAGAGAGAGAGAGAGAGAAAGAGAGAGAAAGAAAGAGAGAAAGAGAGACAGGGAGGGAAGGGGGGAGATAGAGTTTTTTGAGAAATGATAAAAGAGATCAGAGGGATAAACTATTCATGAGTCTACAGAAAAGAAGCTGTTACCTCCTAATACAAATTCCAAATGAGCAATTAGAAAAGGAAACCTACATCTTGCCTTGTTTTCTCATTTCCCATGTCTTATTTGTCTCTGTAAAGATCAGACCACCCACAGTTTGATCTCTCTTTTAAGAACTGGCCAAAAAGTGAGAAGACATGTGGGCCCACATTCTCTTAACTGGGTGTCCTCAGGGAGTTACTCAAACATGCTCAGTCTGAATTTCCTCATCTAACACACGAGAAAACCAGAATTTTTTCTCACAAGGCTGCTGTGAGAAACTGAAACATGTTCCAAGGGCTTAGTTCATAGTGTCAGTGCCTAAAGGGGAGACAGTGAACCACACTGACAACAAGCACACATCATCATCACCAGCAGCAGCAGCAGCAGCAGAAGCAGCAGCACCTTCATCAATATTCATCAATAAAATCATCTCTTTATACATGTGGTAAATTAGGCAAATAAACAGCTACCCCAAGGTCACACAGTAAGCTCCTCTCAGAGCTTAGATGAACAACTTCCACCTTTTGCCTAGAATACCAACATACTTTCTGCTTCAGAGCTGACGGTATCTACTTCCACTTTAGATGCTTTAGCAACAAAAATAGTTCTTTAGGGAATTCAAGAGTGATCAGCTCTCGTAGGCTCAATGGGAGAAGGATAATAAAGGTTCCCAAATGAAACTCGTGCAAAGCTTTCTATAAATAGTGTTACTGCTGCCTTCTTCATGAGGTCTTCAGCACATGCAAATATGAAAAAGAACAATTGCTGTATATGAAAAATGCAGAAGTGGGATAGGCTTCTTCTAGAAAGAACATGGAATCTTGTTTTGTACATGTCAGCCTTGGAAGAGTCAAGCAAATTTGCTGGGCAGTCTCCAAAGGAGAGGTATTTCTTCCACAGGAATGCCAATTATAGGAATACTATTGCCCCAGACTTGAGGATGTACTGGAATTTCTAGAAAACTCAGACAAATTGGTTTAAATCCTTGTATGAAGAAGTCTTTTTTATAGCTGCGGAGAAACTATATATTAAACAGGCTGAAAAAAAAAATGTAGGCCAACCTATAAAAGTAATCAACCCTTCTCATTTGACAGGGGTTGGGGAATCTTTCATTCATACTGAAAGAATTCAGATATCCAAAAGATACAGGGTTCACTCAGGGGGCAATTCAGTCATTGCATATAAATTCATGTTGATTTCCTGAGGATTTTTATTGAAGTCCAAGACAAAGTACTTAAATCTCCTTTGCTTCTGACTGCTTTATTAGTTTTTAAATATGTAGATAGATCTTTTGATCTAATCTTAGTTGATCCATATAGGCACAGGGGAAAGTATTGCTGGGATACCCTATCAAAGTCCATGTATTTCTGTTCTATTAAATGAACAAATAGGTATGATCTGGATTGAGGAGAAAAGGTTTGTCTCCCAAGAATCAAAGTGAGAGAGAACTTTTAGAAAGTTTTGATGGACTTCAAAATTCTATTTCCAACTCTGCCTCCAAAAAGCTCATAAAGTCAATTCATAATAATATGGCATAGAGTGGGTGCTTGATAAATATCTAGGGAAAGAAACTGTGGGCATGGAATCACAAAACATACAGTGTCATTTGATTTATCTAACAGATTGCCTTTCATGCAGCTGAGA